GGAGAAAGATTTCAGTTAGCCTTTTTCCTGAACCAAAGAAAATGCTAACATTAAATTTCCCAGTGCCTGGTTTCTAAGCCATTTTTAAACCTATCTGCTGATTGGGTGGATTTCATAAATCTAATAACCCCTGTTGGCCCCTGGTCAAATACAAATAACCCCAGCACACTTAACTCATCCTGAGGTCCCTTCTCCTGGCTGTCTCCACAGCAGGGACTGAGTGCTGTCTCAGGGTCTGCCTTCTTGGATTCCCCTCTGGAAGCAGAGGCTCCTCATCTCTCCAGGGCTACTGGAAGCCACAGAGTAGCTTGCCAACACTTGGGAATCTCCACTTGCAGATCTGACTTCAGCATCTTTGAAATAGTGAGGGGTCGATTATGTAGGACTTCATTTAATAATCTCTCCAATGCTCTATTTTTCTTCCCTACAGCTTATTGTTTTAGCATGATGACTCCATACAATCACCGCTGTAGCCAACATCTTAGACCATTCATTCTGTGGGCTGTCCTTTGTCCTGGCCTGAGCCTAACTAGTGACAACTCTCAAGAGAAATCTCACTTCTTTTAAAATAAAAGCAGTGGTTGGGTTTCTTCCTCAAAGAATTCTAATTTATAACATTACATTCTTTTTATTTTATTACACTTTAAGTTCTAGGGTACATGTGCACAACATGCAGGTTTGTTACATATGTATACATGTGCTGTGTTGGTTTGCCTCACCCATTAACTCGTCAGTTACATTAGGTGTTTCTCCTAATGCTATCCCTCCCCCATCCCCCCACCCCACGACAGGCCCCAGGGTGTGATGTTCCCCACCCTGTGTCCAAGTGTTCTCATTGTTCAATTCCCACCTGTGAGTTTGAACATGTGGTGTTTGGTTTTCTGTCCTTGGGATAGTTTGCTCAGAATGATGGTTTCCAGCTTCATCCATGTCCCTGCAAAGGACATGAAGTCATCCTTTTTTATGGCTGCATAGTATTCCGTGGTGTATATGTGCCACATTTTCTTAATCCAGTCTATCATTGATGAACATTTGGGTTGGTTCCAAGTCTTCACTAGTGTGAATAGTGCTGTAATAAACATACATGTGCATATGCCTTTATAGTAGAATGATTTATAATCCTTTGGGTATATACCCAGTAATGAGATTGCTAGGTCAAATGGTATTTCTAGTTCTAGATCCTTGAGGAATCGCCACACGGTCTTCCACAATGGTTGAATTAGTTTACACTCCCACTAACAGTGTAAAAGCATTCCTATTTCTCCACACCCTCTCCAGTATCTGTTGTTTCCTGACATTTTAATGATTGCCATTCTAACTGGTATGAGATGTACACCATTACACTCTTTTCTTCTCTAATTTAAAGATTAGGGGGAGGGAATGAAGTGGGGGAAGGAAAAAACTAACCACATGATGCAGAGTCAGTTACTGAAGATGGAAAGAACTTCATCCTCAAGTTTTCCTGAGGGCAGTAGAGTCCAGACTATCTCAACATGCCTTACCCCTGAGTGTGTTTGGGGGGCAGTTTTGGTGTGAATTCCTTCTCTGGTTCACATGGACTGTTCTGTGATCATGATCAGGGCAAGGACAAGGGATTTCCTATTCACCTGGAGGACATGTGCTCCTTTGGGAAGGCCCATCTGTAGGTAAAGCAGTTTGTCCACCAGCAGCTGCAACTTCAATTATCTAACATGAACCTGTTTCTTAGTCCCCCTCTCACCTCTGAAGTCTTGGAGTCTCACTGTCACCTGTAAAACCTAAAAATAATATACTCATGACTAGGCCCCCAATGCTGGAAAATAAAATGCAGTAGGTGTGGAGTAGAGCTGAGCATCTGCACTTTCTTTAAAAGTTCCACGGGGGCTTCTGCTGTGCTCCCAGACTTGAGACCTGGACTTCAGAGTGTGGTCAGGAGACTCAGGCACCCCTGAGAGGAGCCCTGCTTCCTACACCTCCTACCTTCCAGATGATCCAAGTCCATATTAGAGATAAGCAACAGTGGTGAGAGAAATAAACAGGGCTCATCCTCTTTGTAGTCATTTCCTCTTTCTGTTGTAATAAATTACCATAAATTTAGTAGCTTATAACAACACAAATCTATTATCTTATTGTTCTGGAGATGAGAAGTCCAGAATCAGTCTCAGGGAGCTAAAACCAAGGTGTCGGCTCTAGGAGGCTCTACAGGAGAATCTGTTTCCTTGCCTTTTCCAGCTTCAGCTTCCAGAAGCCACCTGCATGCTTTGCCCTGTGACCCCCCAGCCAGCCATCCCATGATTCCATCTTCTCCTACCTCCCTCTTTCACTTCTTTTTTTTTTTTTTTTTTTTTTTGAGAAGGAGTCTCGCTCTGTCGCCCAGGCTGGAGTGCAGTGGCCCATCTCCGCTCACTGCAAGCTCTGCCTCCCAGGTTCACACCATTCTCCTGGCTCAGCCTCCCAGTAGCTGGGACTACAGGTGTCCGCCTCCTTGCCCGGCTGGTTTTTTTTTTTTTTTTTTTGTATTTTTTAGTAGAGATGGGGTTTCACCGTGTTAGGATGGTCTCGATCTCCTGACCTCATGATCTGCCCGTCTCGGCCTCCCAAAGTGCTGGAATTACCGGCTTGAGCCACCGCGCCCGGCCCTCCCTTTTTCACTTCTAAGGACCCTTGTGATTACATTGGATTGTCCTACCAGGATAATCCAGAATCATCTGCCTCATCTAAAGATCCTCCACCTAATCACATCTGCAAAGTCCCTCTTGCGGTGTAAGATATCATATTCATGGGCTCCGGGGGTTAGACATAGACATGTTTAGGGGTAAGGGGCATTACTCTGCTTACCACACTCCTCTTCTAGGAATGTTGGGGTTTGATATGGTTTGTATCTGTGTTGCCACCCAAATCTCATGTCAAATTGTAATCCCCAGTGCTGGAAGTGGGGCCTGCTGAGAGGTGAGCTGATCATGGGGCCGGAGTTCTCACGAATGGTTTAGCACCATCCCCTTTCCCCCTTGGTACTGTATAGTGAGTGAGTTTGAAAGGACACAAAGATAGATGTGTACCCGCCCCCCGCGCTACACCCTTTGTTCTGCTCTCTAATCTTTGCACATACCAGAGATTTTGTTTTGCACATACCAGAGATTTCGTAAGTTCTGTGAGTATCTGTTTTTCTGCATGTACCAGAGATTTTGTAAGTTCTGAGGCAAGGTCACAAGACGTGTTTAAGTAAGATAAACTCTTGCTGCCATAAACCTGCTCTCCCGCCTCAAAGGTTGAACCGAAATATCAGAAATGGCGAGAACCAATCATAGTTAGCCAAATCGCCTTGTTCAAACACTAGCCAATCATATATCTGATTTGTATAATAACTCTATGCCCACTTTTCTTAGACTATATAACACTGCTCGGAGCTCAGTGGGGGAGCTCTCCTGCCCGTCTCGTTTCGCGAGCGAGTGAGAGTTCCAGGTTCGAACCTGTAATAAAGATCCTTGCTGCTTAGCTTTGACTCTGGACTCTGGTGGTCTTCTTCGGGGAATAAACGGTCTGGGCATAACAAGTTCTCACAAGATCTGTTGTGTCAAAGCGTGTGGCACCTCCCCGCTGCTCTCTCTTCCTCCTGCTCCAGCCACGTAAGATGTGCCTGCTTCCCCTTCACCTTTCGCCATGAGGAAAAGCTTCCTGAGGCCTCCCCGGAAGCAAAGCAGAAGCTAGACTGCAGAACCACAAGCCAATTAAACCTCTTTCCTTTATAAATTACCTAGTCTCGGATAATTTATGTCTATCCAGTTAGATAGCAGACGTTTGCCAGAGGAGTCACTCATTATCAAAGTCCCAAAAACATTTTGGCTTTAGTAGTCTGCTCTTCTGCTTGCCACTTATTTCCCCTCCTGCTTTTCCTGGTTAATGGTCCTCTCCTATTTCATCTTGCCTTGTTTTTGCAGATACACAGTTCTGGATGAGGCACAATGCTCATTCCTACATGAGACAAGTGCACTGCATTTGGCATGCACAAAAGAGAAATAATTTCAGAGCATAAGTTTACAAACTTTGTGTAAAATAAGCTTGGGAAACTCTACAGCCAAATATTGTCAATCAGCATTCCTGGCACGTTTGCTCATTAAATGCTATGCAAGTCAAGCAGGTCTTTATCGTTGTTGAAATAGCAAATCTGCACATTTTGTGTGATTCAAAATATTTGTAATAAAACTGCTACTAAATATATAAGCATGGCGTTGGTCCTCACATCACAATTTTTTCTGAGGAGTGAAGGAAAGAATCATACCCAGCAGTACAGCTCTGGGAGTTTTGCCCATGATGATAGAGTATTTTGGAGGGAAAGAGGAAGAAGGAGGGGGAAGCAATTGTAAAACCGAGGGAGACAGGATATGGGGCTCCATTTGCTAAGGGAAAAAACAGCTGGAAATATACTGTGGTTATTATAGAAAATAAGAAAGTTCCTTGGAAATTAAATTTAGGGAAGATGAAATTGAAAGCAAGAGGAAATGAAAAGTCTCTCTGGTTTAAAGAAAGCACATTTAAGAAAAAGTGAAGTAATGGTAAACATTTTTCAGATACCTCTATGGCGTTCTTGTTTTGTGAATGACCAGTTCTTCTCCTTTATTCATCTTTCTATTATAGTGTTCATCTTTTTTATTGACTGGTAAGCACTCTTTGTGTATTCTGGCTATTAACCTTTATTTCTGAAGTATGCATTACAAGTGGAGCTCCTATTTGTCAATCTTGTTTGTGATAAGCATTATTTTCCTATGGAGGAATTTTTAATTTTTAAAAAGTCAAAACTGTCCATTTTTTCCTTCATGCTTTGTGAATTTTTTATTAAGCTCAGAAAGGTCTTTTGTACACCAAGATTATTAAAATCTCACCACTAGTAATTAAAAATGCAAATAAAATGAGATTTAATTTTTACCTATCAAATCCATTTATTCATTTCTTTAGAAAACATTTTTCAAGTGTCCATTATGTGACAAGTATTGTACTAAGAGCTGAGAATACAGGATTATAGAAAACAGAAAAAAAATCTCTGCCCTTGTGACATTTACATTCTATTGGATCAAGATAAGCAATAAGATGAATAAGTAAACTGCATAATGTATTAAGGAACAAGTGCTATGAAGTGAAATGAAGCTAGAAAGGAATAGGAATGCTGGAAGGTGAGACAGGTAGCAATTTAAATAGCATGATCAGGACAGATCTAGTTGAGTGAGCCATGCTGATACCTGGGAGGCAGTGATCTGGACCAAGCTGTTTGGTATGCTACAGAAACAGTTGGGAAGCCCATGTGGCCAGAGGGGTGTGGGAAACAAGAGTAAGCATGGAAATAGGTTACAGTAGTAAGCAGTAAGCATAAGTAGTAATAGGTGGAGAAGTAGTCACCTAGACCATCAGCTATGGCCTATGGGCCATTGTAGGGATTCAGGCTCTTACTCCAAGTAACGTGGGGTAGCTCTGGAGGGTCTTGACTACAGATATTATCTTACAAATTATTAGAATCAGTCTGGCTTCCCTGCTGAGAATAGATTATTCTAGAAGTAGGTCAATATGAGGGGATTAGTGCAATAATCCAGGTGAGAGATGAAGGTGACGTAGCTCTGTGGTAACAGGGAATCGGAAGTGAATGACACCTGTAAGAAAGATAAGAATCAAGGATGGCATCAAGATCTTCAGCCTGGCCAACTGGAAGGACAGAGTGGCCATTAACTGTGAAGGAAAGGCTGCAAGTGAAGTAGATTTGGGGGAAGGGGAACATCGGGGAGAGGTTGAGGGGTCTTGTTTTGGATACATCGGCTTTAAGATACTCACTAGGAATGCAAGTTGAGATGGCGGATAGCGAGAGCAACAAGGCAGATTTCCAAAGCACTTTTCCATCTGTGAGCTGGAGATGTCCATTTACAAATCCTGAGAATATAGGTGGAATTTAAAGCCATGAGACTGAATGAGATGACCATGAGACTGGCAAACATTAAGAATATTGATGGGCCGGGCACGGTGGCTCAAGCCTGTAATCCCAGCACTTTGGGAGGCCGAGACGGGCGGATCACGAGGACAGGAGATCGAGACCTTCCTGGCTAACACAGTGAAACCCCATCTCTACTAAAAAATACAAAAAACTAGCCGGGCGAAGTGGCGGGCGCCTGTGGTCCCAGCTACTCGGGAGGCTGAGGCAGGAGAATGGCGTAAACCCGGGAGGCGGAGCTTGCAGTGAGCTGAGATCCGGCCACTGCACTCCAGCCTGGGCGACAGAGCCAGACTCAGTCTCAAAAAAAAAAAAAAAAGAATATTGATGGCCGGGCGTGGTGGCTCACACCTGTAATCCTAGCACTTTGGGAAACTGAGGCAGGAGGATTGCTTAAGCCAAGGAGTTTGAGGCCAGCCTGAGCAACAGAGTGAGACCCCATCTTCTAATATATATATATATAAGATACATATATTAGATATATTAGATATGTATCTTTTACATATATATGTAAAAGAATATTGACAATACCAAATATTGATAACTGTACAAGAAAATGCACATTCTCGGCCGGGCGTGGTGGCTCAAGCCTGTGATCCCAGCACTTTGGGAGGCCGAGACGGGCGGATCACGAGGTCAGGAGTTCGAGACGATCCCGGCTAACACGGTGAAACCCCGTCTCTACTAAAAAATACAAAAAACTAGCCGGGCGAGGTGGCGGGCGCCTGTAGTCCCAGCTACTCGGGAGGCTGAGGCAGGAGAATGGCGTAAAAACCCGGGAGGCAGAGCTTGCAGTGAGCTGAGATCCGGCCACTGCACTCCAGCCTGGGCGACACAGCGAGACTCCGTCTCAAAAAAAAAAAAAAAAAGAAAATGCACATTCTCATATGCTTTCCATCTGAAGAATAACTGTTCTGAAAAGCAGTTAGCAACATGTATCACAATTAAAACATGCATAACTTTGACCCAGCAATTCCATTTCCAGGAATTCATTTTAAGAAAGGAACTAAACAGGTGAGTAAAAATAAGGATCCTCATGTCATTAATTATTATAGTGAAAAGCTTGAAACAACCTGAAGTTCCAACAAATGGGAGTTTGTTATTACAGTACATAATTACTATTATATGGCCATTTCAACCAACAGTGTAAAGATTTGTATTCACATGTGCTGTGGTATCTGTAATTTACTAAATACTTCAGCAAATATAGTGTGATATAGATTACATGGTTGTTGTGACTTTTTCTTTACAGTTTAGGCTACACCCTAGGAGGAGACAATTGTTCTAATCAGAACTCCACACCCTGGGGCAGTCAGCTAGCATTTTATCAAAAAGGCCTCACTCCAGAGGCGATTACTAAAAGCCCTTCTGTAATCCACATCTCTAATCAACAAGAAAGGTTTTGCTAATTAGCATACTGAATTTCAGAAATGGGTTTTCATAGGAGAAATTAATGGTTGTTAATGAACATAATGGATATTAGAAACGGGCAATCATTGGTGAAATTTGTGGAACTCAAGATCTGTAAAGTGGCTAAAATGTTTCAGAGACGCTTCCTCCTCTTGCATGAACATCATAAAAAAAAAAGAAAAGAAAGTCTTTAGAGAGTCGCGAGGCCTGCATTTTCAGGGTTGATCCCAAAAGAGTCCTGCATTCAGCCATCAGTGTAAAGACTTCCGGTTGCCTATTCCCAGCTCTAAGGGTAAGCGAATCTTGTTTGAGCTATAGGGTTTGCCCCAAGTGAACCTTTCAATGAAGTTATGGTTACAGCCCCCAAGAGGAAAACTTACAGGACTTCAATGAATTTATGAAACAGGTTAAATATATTGTTTTGCTAATGGTTGTTTCTTTATTGAATATCTGCCTACGTGGTAGAATTAGTTCTGAGATCCACTTTCATTACAACCCGGGAGTAAGATCGTGAGAAGTAGATAACACTCACCCCTTTTCTCTTTTCACCTGACTATTCCTTTTAACCCAGAACCAAGGGTTGTGCATGACTCAGGCTGCAAGGGGGACGACTCAGAAACAGATGTAAGACAAGACAAACACCATCTTCCCCAAGTATTCCAGAGGATGAGGATCTTGAGACAGGAAGGAAAAGGCTGATATTTGGGTTATATTTTATAATCAGGAAAAAAAAAAAGCTAAATTTGTCTTTCAAAAGGAAAGTAAAAATAGAACGGGAGGGAGGAGAGATGCATGAGAAAATATTCAGGGAATTCCATCAATGTAAACTACCAGCTGGGAATTGATATTTCACCCCTATTCTTGCCTTCAGTGCTTCCCCCCCACCCCCTGCCCCACCAACAGTAGGATTTGGGACCTAGATTACCTAGAAAATTGCTTCTCCTTTTTTTCACTCTGTCAGAGTTCATCATCATGTCATAAGTGAATAAATACGTTTGAGTAGGCACAAACTTTGAAATATTTACCCTATCCATTTCTCTTTTCCTCTCCCCAAAGGCAGTCAACAGTATTTAGTTTATTTCCTACCATTTGTTTTAAGTAGGAAGATGTTATTTTGGTTGTTCAAATTACTGTCATTTTACATTGATTCCCGATGCTGCCTTTCCGCCTCCTGTCTCTCTTCCACTTTATAAAGTAGTCCCTGATTTATTTCCCTACACCCTCTTTTCTACTTCCCTCTCTGTTGCTTTCTTCTCCTTTCTACATCTCTCTCTTCTTATTCCTATTGTCTAGCAATCCAGGTACCCAGAGAAGACAACAGTAACTTAAGATACAGCCTGTGAGAAGATGTCCTGAGAGAATTTCATAGAGTGATTAGTACATCCCAACATGAAAGGCACGTTTTATAAACCCACGTTTTATAAAAACTGTCTTCAATGAAGACTGGAAAAAATAATAACCAAATGGTAAAGTTTTCCAAAATCTTTTTTTCTGGTTTAAAAAGGCAGACTAGGCCGGGCGCGTGGCTCAAGCCTGTAATCCCAGCACTTTGGAGCCGAGACGGGCGGATCACGAGGTCAGGAGATCGAGACCATCCTGGCTAACACGGTGAAACCCCGTCTCTACTAAAAAATACAAAAAACTAGCCGGGCGAGGTGGCGGGCGCCTGTAGTCCCAGCTACTCGGGAGGCTGAGGCAGGAGAATGGCGTAAACCCGGGAGGCGGAGCTTGCAGTGAGCCGAGATCGCGCCACTGCACTCCAGCCTGGGTGACAGAGCCAGACTCCGTCTCAAAAATAAAAAATAAAAATAAAAAAATAATAATAAATAAAATAAAATAAAAAATAAAAAGGCAGACTAGAAACAGATGTAAGTTAGGAAGGCTAAATCACAAAACCCAAGAATGCAAGCCTTACAGAATTCTGATAAGAATGTCAAGTGCTCTTCAAACAGCACTTTAAAAAAAAAAATACTATTTGACTTTAAACTCACCCATCTCTGTCTGGATGAACATATGTTACCACACAGATTATTCCCCTTTGAAATACCCACTGCCATACAAACCAGCAGGAAAAGGGAAATTTCCGGCAGGAGGTAGGCAATAAGACATGAGAGCTCTGGCCCTTTTAACTGCTGTTAAGTAGCTGGCTGTTTCCTTTCCTTAACCCCTCTCTCCCGCTCCTGCTGCTATGACTGTTGTTTCTGCTTTGCAAGGACATGTCATTTTACTTACTACTCTCTCTCCCCCTTCTTAATTGGCCTGCAGTAAAAATACAAATTGCACCATTGTACTTTATTATAAGGCATTTGATGGGCCCCAAACTGCCTCATAAGTACTGCCTAGAGGGTATTAATCAGACCTGCTGACTCTACTAAGCACCCACTTTTATATGTTGACCCCTAGATGAGGCCAGTGGGTGGTAACTCTACCCCCTCCCACGGGAGCATTTACCTGGTCCCTGCCTCTCCATTAGCAAAGGCACAACTGAAAGGTGTGGCGCCCGTCCTGCAGCAGCCAAGTACACAGCCCAAATCTCTCCTCTGCACATTAGCTTTAATGCCTATTGTACTTTATGGACATGAAAAGTCTGCCTCATTTGTCCCCCTCTCTCTAGGTACTAGAGCATAAAGCGAATGTCTGAATTTTAAAACAGCAGCTAAGGTTCACAATCTTCTGTCAAGTCTCATGGCTTGGTAAAGACAGCCTGTTCTTGGAAGTAAAATCAAGGAAAATTGTTGTTCCCAAAAAGGGTGTTGAAAGAGCAAGGTTCCCGCTAGACAAGAATAGGGTGACGGCTCCAGGGGTTATTGTTTGCTGTGCTGGTCCCACTCAGTACATATCACTGTATGTTTCAGTAGCAAATGCTTGTTGAAGATCTGCTTATGTTGTAATGACGATAAAGGTCTGTTGTGAGATTTCAGTTTCACAAAGCTCTATTCTTTGCGTAAGCCTCACCACCAATTTTCTGCTGTCAGATACCTTGGAATTCACATCATTGTGTGCTCTGAAACATTAAAATGGAAAAAATGGTAAAAATTTTTTCAATGTAAATAAAAAGCAAAATGGTGGAACAAACTGATTATGGCCTAATCGCTGTCTTAACTTATTCATTCAGTAGCTTTTAAGAAGTGCATCTATACCTCTATGCCAGAAACTATGTGCCTCATTGATTACTGAATATGTTGGTATATACTTACAATTCAGTGTGGAATATGGTGGAACTTCCATCTTACATTTAACTGTGGGGAAAAGAAAGAGATCACACTGTTACTGTGTCTATGTAGAAAGAAGTAGACATAAGAGACTCCATTTTGTTCTGTACTAAGAAAAATTCTTCTGCCTAGAGATACTGTTAATATGTAACCCTACCCCCAACCCTGTCCTTGCAGAGACATGTGCTATGTCTACTCAAGGTTTAATGGGTTTGGGGCTGTGCAGGGTGTGCTTTGTAAACAAGTGCTGAAGGCAGTATGCTTGTGAAAAGTCATCACCATTCTCTATCTCAAGTACCCAGGGACACAAACACTGCGGAAAGCCACAGGGACCTCTGCCTAGGAAAGCTAGGTATTGTCCAAGGTTTCTCCCCATGTGATAGTCTGAAATATGGCCTTGTGGGAAGGGAAAAATCTGATCGTCCCCAAGTCCGACACCCGTAAAGGGTCTGCGCTGAGGAGGATTAGTAAAGAGGAAAGAAGCCTCTTAGCAGTTGAGATAGAAAAAGCATCTGTCTCCTGCCTGTCTTGGGCAATGGAATTTCTCAGTGTAAAACCCGATTGTATGTTCTATTTACCGAGATAGGAGAAAACTGCTAGGGCTGGAGGTGGACGTGCCACTAGCACGCAATGCTGCTCTTTATGCACTGAAAATGTTTATGGAGATGTTTGCATATACGCACATCAAAGCACAGCACTTTCCTTAAACTTATTCATGACACAAAGATCTTTATTCATACGTCTTGCTGACCTCCCTACTATGACCCTATGTCCTGCCACTTCCCCTCTCCGAGATGGTAAAGATAATGATCAATGAATACTGAAGGAACTCAGAGACCAGTGCCTGGCGGTTCCTCTGTATGCTGAGCGCCAGTCCCCTGGGCCCACTTTTCTTTCTCTATACTTTGTGTCTCTTCTTTTCTCAAGTCTCTCATTCCACCTGACAAGAAATGCCCACAGGTGTGGAGGGCAGGCCACCCCTTCATTTAATTTAATGTAATACATCATTTATGGTTTCCTCTAAGGTTCTAGTTTTTCTGCCCCATATCATTTATTCAACATCTCTACATTTTGTTTACAAATGTTCATGAGTTCCAGATTTTGTGGCCATAATGATTCTTCAGAAGGCCATTTCAGCTCCAAAGAATGATTTCAACAGTAATGCCTTCAATGGAGTAATTATCAGATTAAGGGAATTCCCAACATAGCCCTAGCCTTCTGATTTATTGTGGTTTCTGTTTACGTCTCAGAAGCAACACATCACTTGTAGATGTCTCAGTCTCCTTCATTCGGGTTCCTGCAAATCAATCAACATTCATTCGGCAAACTGGAGATTTCATGTCCAGTTTCTTTCAGGAAAATTGCTCCTCTCAGGCAATAAGCTCATAGACCAAAGACCTGGGCACAGAACTCAGGAAGCACCAATATTCAAACCACTAAGAGAACGAGAAGGAGCAGTGAGAAGGACTGAAAGCAAAACAGGACACAAAGAAAAGGACATCACAGAAGCCAAAAAAATAAAGAGACAAGAGGATACGTTTCTGTGAGGAAGACATGCTGGAGGACCAAGAGAATAATAAAGATGGACTCTCACCAAAACAAGGGAGACTCCACAGAAAACAGACAGGGTGACACTCAGTGGCCATGCGTTGGACAGGTGAGCTGGTAAACTATTTGAGGGGCAATTCTATGACTGTTATTTCCCTTATAATTATCCTAACACCTAGCACAATGCTACATAAATAGATGGATAGGTAGCCCCATAGACGCTAGATAGAATATGTAATAAATAGTAGTTTCCATGTGTATATGTGTACATGTGTGTGTGTGTATATATATGTATATGTGTGTGTGGTGGTGTGTTATATATATGTATATATATTTTAATTTTTGTAGAGATGGGGTTTTACTACATTGCCCAGGCTGGTCTTGAACCCCTGGCCTCAAGTGATCCTCGCACCTCAGCCTCCCAAAGTGCTGGGACTACAGACATGAGCCACCAAACCCAGCCCTATTTTTCCACCTGAAGCACAGGAAATGACATCCAAAACACAGCACACAGAGAGGACGCTGTCAGTAGGAACCTTGGTAAAATTTTATGTTGTTTTGTTCTTTAGGAGGCAGTGTGGAACAGAGAAAAGTTGAGTGGCAGCAAGTTAAGAGAGCAAGATTTGAGCTCTGACCCTCACTGACTAACCAATGACTAACTGTATAACCCTCAGCTAATCCCACCACCTCCTGGGCCTCAGTCACTATCATAGTACAATTAGGGGAGTGGGCTCTGTGATACTTTTTCCAACTACAAAATTTGTACAAAGCATCCATACTGCTCTCCCACTTGAAGGCTTATCCTTTACCATCCATGCAATATTTTTCCCTAGCTCTCAAGTCCTTCAGACCCATTATACTATGCTCTGGCTGTACCTAATTCTTGCACATAAGCTCATCCTTCTAGAAATGCCCATTTGCT